TTCCTGTGCAATAAATGCAACGGGAGGTAAGCCGTGGCTGAACCTGCCTTCAAGGACTTTCTTGCCTTTATAAGTGTGGAATTTTAAGAGGTGTAGATACAAATAAGTATGTAGAGGGGCACGTGTATTGCAGTGGTCGGAGGCGCGTTGCTATACACACGGGATCTATCATCGCGCCGAATTCTTATCAAGGCCTCCATCCCTCTGGAGTCGCAAAATTGGTACCAGGCTTGTCTAGGAGGATAGCAGCACTGACCCGATACATCAGTAGGCCACCGCGAGTTACTGTAAAGGCTTGATATATAATCATCTCCAACGATTCTTAATGAAGTCGAATGCATGATGCATTCTTCAGAGATTGATCAACGCCAACAGCTTTACCCTTTATCCTTTATGAATATAAATACATAAGCATAAAAAACAATATGAGATACAATACAAATATCTACGCATAAATAAAAGTGTTTCTCATTGTAAAGAATGCCTGCATTTTAATGGTCGGTATTCCGACTAAATTCATTCTGAGTTGGGATATTCCACTTTAAATATATAGGTTGCAATCCGAGATTACTTTCTGAACAACCCAATATTGTAAAAAATTCCACCGATTCACATATATCCGAGATAGCAACACTTTTCAACGGCACATCTCTGCTCGTAACGAATTTTATAAATTGAAAAAAGCTATCGCAGCTTAGAGACCAAGAAGGTGCAAGTTTTCATATTTTACCATGACAAAAACTGAATTTTTAGAAAGAATGAGTACTAGATAGACTGATAATGGAAATTACACTTCAGGAAAATTGTCACTTTCCTAAGAGTGATCAAGCAAAGTGTCGTCTACAAGTATGCCAAGTTATCAACTTCGTAAGCCTTCTGCTGATCCAAAAATATTGGTAAACAATAAAGCGACACTGGTCCTTGTGTAGGGCAGGCAATGTTCGAATTTGAAAATCTAAACTCCTTTTAATTTCTCATTGTCATGGTGTGTTACCAAAACAGACTTAATGTAAGTTGTAAAACACTTTCATATCCTGATAGCAATGGTTTTCGCAGGTGAACTACAGCAAAGTGACTTCGAACTCAACAAGTTTTGTAGCTATTTAACATTCACCATTTATTGTCACCAAAACCCTAGAATTTCCGTGTTTAAATTGTGGACAAATCTTACTGTTTTTGAGAGCTGGGTAGAAAGAACGATGGTCGCCTAGGTGTTAAAAGAGGGGATTTAAGAATAAACATGGAAATAAAATTAGTCAAGTTTTCATTTTCATTTTTATTGTATAAATTCACATTTCGACTTAAACCATCAGGAAACTGCACTAACAGAAAGTTAGCCAGGCCAGTGTAATGGAACCAACAGCGTTTTATTAAGCTCATAAAGTTTACAAGGCTCTGTAATTGGTCATAAAGTACTCTAATAAACTTTTAACCAGGAGATATTCTCTGAATTTCACACAAACGTTCGGAACATTTCGATCGCAGACCGTTATTACGACATATTTGCTATAAACCACTCAAGTTAGTACACAGTTCACTGCCACAAATGCACAAACAAAGAAAGATTAAGAAAATGATGGATACATTGCAAACCAAGGAATAGAAAGAAAGGAACCATTTTCTGAAACTGAAGAATCTAAAGGGCATTAGCACTGAGATTTCAGAGACTCGATGATTTATATTACAATGAATATACTTATTCCTAAATTATACCTAACTAAAACACTAGACAAGAAACATTATATATATATATATATATATATATATATATATATATATATACTGTAAAGGGTAAAGTTAAGCACTTAAATATCCACATGAATCTACTTGAAGTAGCCAAAGTTCATACGCAGTTGTTCGAAAAAGATAAAGGTGAGTACAGTATGAGGTGCAAGCCTCACCCACGCAGGTATGAATCCTTTGAAGAAGCCGGCTGGTCCAAGCTTAGCTGTATAGAAGAAACAATCAACAATGCCCTAAAAATAAAATTAACACAGCATCCAGATAAATAACAGCTAAAAACAACCTTAAAAAGAGTGATACTTAACTGTACAGTTTCCAATGTTTAACACTTACAACTTGACATAAATTGATTTCTCATACGGTGTGAAAAGATGGCTGCTTTAACCTCGAATGAACAAACACCTCACAGTGTATTTCATTAATGAAAACACACACTGCTAGAATCTCTAGAATCTACAGACCTGCGCTAATAAAATACAATTTTCTTACTCCAATTCAGTATAGCAGAGGAGACTTGCTCCCGACGGTTTACCGCCTCATCGAGGCTGGGATGTGTTCCTGGGTGTCGGACTGCGATATACAGTGGGGGTATTCGTCCCCCTGGCAGGGTCTCCCAATCTGAGAAGGAGTCCAGCGTTTCCATCAGGAAACCTAGCTAAGAGTAAACCGCCACCGTCCTGGTATCAGAGTCGCATGGTGGCAAATCTCATTAATCCACAAGGGCTGCGACTGCCCGTGGTGGTGAAGACCTGGGGCAGACTTTGGTCAGGTTGACCTCAGGATTCCAGGGAACCACAATGGCTTAACCAGTAAATCTCCGATAAGTGGTGATTATGCTGGAGCCTGCACAAGCAGTGAGGACGGGCCGTTCAAGTGTTAAGTGTGTCAAGAAGAAACTTTAGTCCTTTTTTCTTCGTCCCAATTCTTATTTTGAACATAAACACAAATAAGCAAGCAGGACGCAGAACGCGTCAGTTCTTTCGAATACGCGTTGATGTCTACCGTTACTGCACTGGTGCTAAGAATTTTGAAAATTTAAACTCCGTCTTCATCTTTTTGAAAATCTTAATTATAACAAACCTTAAAGATGACGTAACATTTTTGAAAATGTCATACTTAGCCATAAATAGATCGAATAGTCTTTTGTGAGAATATCAATTCTTCAACTAAAGTATTCTAAACCTGCTGTCTTTTTGAACAGAAGCACTTCTTGAAAAAATCAGCAACAGTCTCTGTAGTAAATATCGCAAACCTTATAATACAGAACAAAAGCTATCAATAAAAATTTGGAAAATAATACTCTAAAAGTTACTGAAGCACGATAAAACAACTCATTAGCTTTTACGTCTCCTTTCTCAAACTGATGTAGTTCATGTTTAGCTAAAGAAGAAACAAACCTTGAACTGGCCCGGTGGAGCATTCATTAATCGAGTCTTCATGACATCTAATGGCTGTGTTAGCATAGTTGCAATACTAGCCTGAACATCAGGAATGGAACGACACCGATAGCTTGAGACAAAGAAGGTGTTTACCAACCGCACAGAAACTACTCGTGAAATGTGTGTACAAGTTGTCTTTCGCGATGCCACTCTCGATCAACATTTGTTTAATTTGATCATAGAACGAAAGCTGTCCAATAGTCATAAGAATTGCTCTTGACGTTGCCATTGTCGCACCTAAACTCTCCGCACTCGAGATTGAAAGGCCAGCTTGTTATGAAATCAATTTTAAAAAATGGTAGTCAATATACTTAATGATTTCGGCACAATTAGGAGGAGCACATTAACCCATTCTGCCCCGGAAACCGCAATTCGTGGACTGCTTCACTGGACCACGCACAATTTTTCGTCGGCTACAGACTTTCTGATTTTTCGACAACAGAAAAATCTCCCAATAACTAGAGATCCATTGCTCTGTTGATATGAATAGTATGTATGCTATCTCAACTCATTTATGTTAATACAACCTACACACAGGTTATAACAAAATTGAACGATTTGCGCTAAAGTAAGGAGCGAGCAGTTCGGAAAGCGCATAGTTCACCTCTTTTAAGTCACGTTGTGATGAACATATTGGTTAGAAAGGCTCGCATTACCAATTCGCGCCCGCATAAAACAGCACCTAGGCGAAAAGCTCAAAGCCCGTTAAAATAGTCCTTTAGGTATGCAAGGCTAAAAACCTCAATTCTTATTCTCTTGTGAAGACTGGCGAAATGGGCAGAAAACGAAACGTCCACATAAAAGAACACCTAGTTGGCAAAAAGGTAAGTAGAAAACGCCGTTAGCCATGTATAAGACACGAGTGCACAATGGAGATTTTAAAATAAAAGTCATTATCCTCATAGACGAATCCATCTAACGCCGATTTTTTACCTCTACCAAAAGTCTTAAATAAAATAAGCGATGTGAAAAAATAATGACATCAATTTGTAATACACAGTTTTCTTGATGAGCAAACACGAGGTTGTTAACAGCTGCGTTTATTTAATATAATAGCAGCTGATGTTCCAGCGGTTTCGCCTTATTCGGGACCTGGAAGAGTCAAACTCTCATCTCACTCGTATATAATGCTGCGATATTTGCAAAACTCCGAGAGGCAGGTGTATGCAGTGGGGAACGAACGCGCTATTGTCCTTACCGGGGAGTAGCGCACTTCACCACCACACCACCCGGGTCCTTCGTTTTGCCTGTTTCTCAGCTAGTTCTACCCGTCAACGGGATTGATCTAGGGAGCCCAAATCGGCATTAAATCCAGTTACGCCGAGGTTTAGTTATAATCACAATCTTAACCCTTTTATTTACTGCCTTTTTCTTTTTAATGGCAGGGTGTGTTGCGAAACATATATATATATATATATATATATATATATACGAAAAGGAGTTTTGCAAATATCTCAGCATTATATACGAGTTATATTTCGCAACATACCCTGCCATTAAAAAGAAAAAGGCAGTAAATAAAAGGGTTAAGATTCTCATCTCACTGTTCGTCTTCTGCTTTTCATTCTCAGATCTCATCCCATACCTCAGAGTGATTTGTCATCTAAGCTACGCACATCTCTCACGTAAGGCTGGACTTCAATAATAACTGAGGAACTTATAAAGAACAAAACAATGAGAATTTTTCGTATTTTTGTTGAGCAAACGCGAGGTGTTATTGTTCTTTATTCACGAATAAGCTGACGTTTCGGCGGATTTCGCCTTCCTAAGGGCCTGGAAAGGTTAAGTTGACAAAACCAGATGTTCGCCAAGTGGAAGAAGTGCAAGACGAAGGAAAACTTTTGCGCTCAATATTTGGAGGACCACCTCTGGAGGAGAATAGTGGGCAGATCAGTGTTGATTTGCAACTCTATTAGAGTTTAATGCTAAAGTAACTTTGCGGAGAAAATTCGAAGACCTTTTGAGTAAATCACATAACACAGCTTTAATAGCGCACAAAAATATCGCTAAAGAACATCAAACAGATCACATTAGGATAGTTAATGCGCAAGAAAATTCAAGGCTAACCGTGTTAGGAGGCATAACTCTCCCTAACGGTGCGCGCTCGTTATTAGAATTGGGGCCGAGTTTCTCACCATCTGAACCCATTTCTAAGATAACCTTGCGTAGGGTCGCATGTGGTTTACATGAACTTCAAGATAGACTCCGCAAAAAAGCTAGAGATGAAGCGCTAAATAGGTGCGAACAACACCAAGTGGGGGCCCTACCAATAGCACCATTTCCCCCGACGTTCTTTTGACAAGAGCCCAATAATGAAGTTGATGTTAATATTCGGATGTTTGCGAATGAAGCTTTCAAAGTCCTTAATCACTATCGTGCGAAAAGATACAGCTCAAACCTCACTCCAGTGCAAAAACGAGGCATGCGAAAGGTACGAGAGCTGATAAGGTTGAAAACCATAAGACTATCCGTTAGTGATAAGGGTGGAGAGTTTGTCGTAATTCCTCATCAGTTAGATGTGGAGATAACGAAAAAGCATCTTGAGGATGCTTCGCTTTATCGCCCATCATCTGAGGAGGATTTCAAAAGTAAATACCGAAAACTAAACCACGAATGGGCCAAAATGGCAAGGGCTGCTGGTTTAAAACCATCAAATATCTCTCAACTTAAAGTTGACTTACCAACATGCCCCGTCTTGTATTTACTTATAAAAACTCATAAGTTAGTATCCAGCGATGATCTTGCGTCTACCGATCCATCGCTATTTAAGGTTAGACCTAACATTAGCTGCGTAGACGGCCAACTGACAGGATAACATGGTTTTTAACCCTGATATTTAACCAGTTGTTGAAACACATTCCAGCCCATCTTACGAATACCCAGATGTTTCTGGATCGTCTACGTACTGCGCAGCCCAACAGCGCGTGCGTGATGGAGTCCTTCGACATTACCGCGCTTTATGCAAACGTGTCGAATGACTCCGCAATGCAAGCTATATTCGAACTCCTTATACAACACGAAGGAGAAATAAACATGCATGGCTTCAAGATAGAGCGGTTGATGGCACTCTTAAAAGAATGCTTGAGCTGCTCAATCTTCAGTTGGCCCGGAAAGTACCACGCTCAAATGAGAGGAATCAGTGGGACAACGACTGGCTCCAAGCCTTGCCATTGCATTTATGCCTAAGGTGGAAGCATCGGTGGCTGACCTCGGCCCGCTACTCTACTGTAGATATGTAGACGACTGTTTTGTCCTTAGCTCAACACAAAAGAAAATGGACAAATGTTTCGAGTTGTTGAATGCATAGTCAGAGTATATGAAGTTTACCTGAGAGAAACCGTAAGAAAAATGGCTTCATTCCTGAACGTCCAAATTCACCTATCAGGAAATGGCTACATTACAAAGTGGTATAGAAAGCCAAGTAGTAAAAACATCTTGGTTCATTGCCTCTCCTCTCACCACTCGCACACGAAAAGGGCGCTTATAAGAAACATGTTTCGAACAGCAACCAACGTGTGCACGGGAGGAGAGCAGAGAGAGGAGTCCCAGAACTTGGTGCGGCAAATAGCCATTTCTAATGGCTAAGAAACTGTAGTTTAGGATGGGTGTAGGAAAAATCCTAGGCCTCCAAACGACAACTCTAGCGATAGAAGGGTTTCGTTTATCCTACCCATCATCTCAAATGTTGTAAGTACAGCTATAAAACGCTGCTTAAGAAGAGCGGGTTTAGAGAATTCGGTAAACGTAGTTGAAATACCACCGAGTAATCTTAAGCGCCAGCTAGTTCGTAACCGCCTATATGGCCGTCTATGTGCAACTTAAATTTGCACAATTTGCCCCAGTGGTAGAGACGGTGATTGCATGAGCTCGGGTATAGTTTATCTGATCTTCTGTAAGACGTGCGGAGACGAATACATTGGCGAAATGGGCAGACCCCTCTGTGTCCGCATAAAAGAACACCTACCCGGCAAACACAGACCAAATACCCCGCTAGGCACGCATAGCACACAGAAACATAACGGCGAGGACTTTGAAGCATGTGTCACGATCAACGCACGCGAATCAGGAACACAAGCGCGCAAAACTCTCGAGGCACTCTGGATTAATTCCAGAAATCCGAAAATGAACCGCAGGGAAGAATGCCCCATTATTACTCGTGATATAGGGCAGTATATAAGACTGCTATTCTGATGGTAGGGGCACATTATGCTTCCATGTGATTTCTGTGCCGTTGGCCTTCACGCGACATACTTAGTGGAAACCTCATAGGAAGCGGTAAGTATGCAAATCTGTGTTCCGTGTGATTGAAATCTTGGTTTAGAGTTTCTTTGTTTGGTTATGGAGGTGTCTGGCCGAGTGGATTGCTATCAACTTGACCTTTCCAGGCTCTGAGGAAGGCGAAGTCCGCCGAAACAGTCAGCTTATTCGTGAATAAAGAATAATAACACCTCGCGTTTGCTCAACAAAAATACGAAGAAAAGTTAGACTTCACTCCACTTTTTATCTATTGTATTATCAGTGAAGTTCTTTTTGTACAAGTTCGTTTTTTAAGAAACTATCAGATTCCGTGCTAAGTCGTTGTGTTATCGTTTCCTCGTTGAATGATTTCTACACCGGTTAAGTTGCCACTGAGCTAGTTATCTTAGAAGCTTAAAAGGTGCCGTCACCTCACTGTGACCTCAATGATAGTGTTGCACATCCGGCGATCGACAAGCACAGATAATCGATTAATTAACTGCAATTTTTACTTTTGCCAATAAAAGTAGGAATTACAGTTAATTTTTTGTGCGACCCTTCATCAATTCCTCCGTGCTCTCAGCACTTGCTGCATTTGCTTCGTCTTCTGGCAACCGTCATCCACAAAGATCTTTAAATTTCCCACTTATAACTTAGAACGTTGCTTAAGGATTTTCATCTCGTCATGAAAGCCGCTGAATATTGATCAATTCGATTTCTTCCGGAGTCTTGAAACAGCTGGATTAATGTGGCTCCATTTGGACTGCAAAGAATGAACTGTTTACCGAGAAGTCTAGTACCAATTTCTCGCCTCCGCATGAATGTGACAGGGTATGTGAGCACGGGTCGGGGTCAAACCAGAGCGATTTGTGAACCTTTACTCAACTGTAATTACCATCTGTTTTCCACATAGTCTTGAAGCAAAATAACAAATGGCATTGGTTGCTGCTGGCAAAAAGTTTTCTTTTTTCCAACTGGTTATTTGTACTGGTAGACTTAAATAATTATCATTAGGGAAAGGAAAACAGTGGTGAGGTTTTGTTCCATAATAAAAATGAATTATTGATCGTTTAGGTATCGACGTTCTGAGCGACATTCCTGCAGTGCGTGTGCAACACTAATTTTGGAGATTCGATTGTCATTTCTTAGGCAAAAAGTTGTTCTATAATATTTCTAAAGCGACGTGGTTTTGACGAATTCAAAGAGCGCTGTGAATCACTCCTAATCCTATTCTGACTGATTTCCGCACGCCGTCCTGTCTTCCTATGTTGTTGCTCTCATCTGCCTATAGTTGTTCACAATTGGATTGTTCGTCTTCACCATCGCTCTCTAACATTATTTATCCGTCATTTCTCAATACTCGATTGCTTCTCTTTACACACCATCAGAACTTACAACTCCTTTCTCCCACGCATGGTGCTTTATAAACTGTCTTTGAAAAAATAGAACCGTAATTTATGCTTAGCAGTAGGCATACTTTAATCTATCAAAGACATATACAGGTGCATTATTCGTGTTTTCTAGAATGAATTTCTTAGTCAGGATAACGTTAAGTTAAGGGTTCGCTTCCTAAGGATATTATCACATTTTTGGAGACAAATCTGCTTTTATAAACTCATATCCTATCCAAGCTAAACCATACCCGCTGGGTTATTCTTTCTTCAGAAATCTAACTCTAAAACTGTTTTATGGTGGAATGTGCAGTGTTGAATCTGATTGATACTC